ACATTTTGGAACAACGGATGGTTTGACTCTTGATTATAGTGGTGTTGTTTGTGCGAAGTGGGTATTTTAACAATGCACTGTTGTGATTGGTAGATGAATAAGAAAGATACTTTGTTGTGTTGTTTTAGGTTTGTTTCGACTACTTCTTCGCTTATAAAGTGCGATGGGTTTGATTATTTTTGTTGTATAAGATTTCTAGTATCATAAGAGGTTTCCTGTCTTTTTATAAATGTTGGATTCAAACTATGATTATTTGTTCCATCCTTAAAAATTGTGTTATAGTTTAAGGGTGTGGAATCAATGGTTTAGTTACTCCTTAAAAATTTTTGTTTACAGAGACAGTGGCGATTGATGCACCTGAAATATCGTGAGATATTTTGACAAATATTAGATGAGACAAATCAGTGTCCCATAAATAATCTGCTTGATCACCTAATATAGCTTCATCGTCTGATGTTTGTGGTCGGAAACATTTTCTTTCTGTTGAGATTAAACCTAAATTGTGTAGAAAACAGTCAATAAAGAAACATGCTTGGATTTTTTGTAGATCAACTTTTTTTTATTGGTGGTGTATTGTTTTTTGGTGAGTGATTCACAAATTGAGTCCCAAAAATTGCAAGAAAAGTTTGATTTCAAGTCTTGGAGAAAAGGTATATCAGTTCGTTGGAATGATATTTTATTTTCTCGGTGGCTAAAGTTTATTTTAAGAAAAATGTTCTTTATCCTACTCAGGGTTGTGATTTTGTGAACGAGGTTTGGGGAATAGTAGATCAAGGTTCAGGTATAATTAAAACACAAGTAGATTGTTAGATATTATTTCATATTTGACAATTTTAAGATTGTTTTAGCTTGGGTCAACTAAGAAGAGAGGCTCAAATGAAGAATGAGTAACCGAAGTTGTTCACTGTTTACCTTAATTTAAAGGGTTAGTTCCTCAAAAATTTCTACGAGTCCTGGGTCCTCGATTAGGGTTGGAAAGTGAAATCCAGTTTGAGGTCGTTAGAAACTGTATCTAGGAGGTTGGGGGAACAAAATTTCTGATTGATCCAAGAGAAGCCTTGATGAATAAATAATAGTTTTGAATTGAATGATTAAAAAGTTACGATTAAGTTAAAATTGGATTAAGATCTAAGGATAGCCTTGATGATCTGGCCTAAAAGAAGTTTAAGTTAAAACAACGCAAGGATAGGCCCCGATAATTTTTAAGTTTTAAATTTAAGCTAAGTAAAATGTTAAGAGTTCTGTATCTAGGAGGTTGGGGGAACAAAATTTCTGATTGATCCAAGAGAAGCCTTGATGAATAAATAGTTTTGAATTGAATGATTAAAAAGTTACGATTAAGTTAAAATTGGATTAAGATCTAAGGATAGCCTTGATGATCTGGCCTAAAAGAAGTTTAAGTTAAAACAACGCAAGGATAGGTCCCGATAATTTTTAAGTTTTAAATTTAAGCTAAGTAAAATGTTAAGAGTTCTAAAAGAAATGAATGAAAGGTTAAAAATTTAAAAGATAATAGACTTTGAATAACTATGGTTATATTTTAGAGGAGGAAAAAAAGATGAGGAGGATGGGAGAAATTGAAAAAAGTGAAAAAAATTAGGTCTTTCGAGAAGCAGGAACTTCAAAATTTTCTTAAAAATTAACTTAGATTTTATTACTAACTAACTTTTGTATTTTTTTTTATCATTAAGTTTTAATTTCACAAAAGGTTTCAAAACTACTGCAGATTTTGATTAAGGAACAACTTGTGTAACATTTTATCCGTCGTTATTATGGTTATATAAATTGGTAATACAACATCAAGAAATACATTGCTTGGAAATGAATCATATTGCTCCAAATAATTTATTTTCAAGTTAGAGATTGAAATTTTACTGCATGAAGAATTTTTTAGAGAACTACTCGTTGCAGTTTGCATTGTGTCACGACTTAGAAGCTTGGCTGGTTGTTCAGTTTTTGACCTGGTGTTTCCCGTATCGCTGGAAATAATGGAGTGCACGTATTGGGAACTAGAGACATATCTATTAGATTTTCTAAGCTATCTAACATTTTGCAATTTTGCATTTCATATTCTGATCTTGTTTCTATTTCTATTTGGCTAAGTCGAATTTGTTAGTAGGTCTTGTTCGAGTCTTGTTTATGCCTGGAGTACCTTATTCATACAATAATTTCAAATAAGGTACGCCATCTGTTTGTCACGCTATCTTATTTTCGGCCGGATCGATTCGTGCAACTTCTTAATCTAAATCCAATCTTAACCCCACTCTTAAATCTCCTGGTCTCAGTAGATCTAGTGTATACTGGTATTTGCAAGTTAGATATCTGGAACTTATTCCAAAGAGAACAACTGTTTTCTAAGTTATATTCAAAATGTTCTGGTGCTGAAAATACAAATAGTTTCAGCATTACAAAAAATTGCCAGTGTTAGTTCTGGATCATGATTGGTTGATAAGAAACATTTTATAGAGTTATTTTTTGCAAGAATATAATTTGTTATAAATACTAGTTTTAAAGTGCTCCAGAAGCTGTGAATAGTAATCCATCCCTTGCGAAAACATTTTGAAACAAGTTCTTCGAAAGTCCAAGCAATTATGTGCGCATTAAATCGACTTGGTATGTAAAGCGCGTAAGAGGAAAGTTAATTGACGCCCAACTACTTCAATTTGTTCTACATATGCGCAATCATCTGAAACAATAACTCAAAGCCACATTCAAAAATTTCAAAAAATTTCAAAGTTTTTAACTTAATGCTTAGCCAAAAAGCAATGGGATTGTAAGGTAACAACAAAAATATCATTGAAATGAACAAATGAAAGATTTTTTAAATAGAGGATTAAAATTTTAATGTTAAAAGCATGATTTGAAAACTTACAAAACCGTTGGATAGCTCACACTGAAAGGACACGGTCTTATTGTTCCCTCCGCTTCGCGAAGCGGGATTGATCTTTGATCTATGTGCTAGGGATGGTTTTTCCCGCAGCTTCAATTAACCGAAAAAAGCGTTCAGAGAATCATTTGCATTATATCAAAACCACCATGGGTGTGCTTTTGGCTCCAATAAGTTTTTAAAACGTTGTCTCAGTGCTGAGAAAAGCTGATCTGAAAAACTTGTATTCAGACTAAATTAAATGAAGTTAGAAGCTGACTTTTTAAAATGATAACTTTAACGTTAATTCGGATTTGATAAGATTTCATTCTTGATTTTTAGTCTTATTTAAAAAGTTTTCGGTGCAAATTACAAAACAATTAATATAAAAAAGAAAAAAAAACATTTAGTAATTTTGAATTTTTCTGTTTTTTGATCAATGCGGTCGGAACATTCGGTGCTTTTCATTCAACAGTCAGATGTGATTATTTTTACCATGAGTCTTGGTATATTTCCTGCTTTAGCTGAGAGTTTTTTGAAAAGTCAGCGGTATACAACAGCGTTATACGTCTATCCTAAAATCTTGGGATCTAGGACTTTCTCGGGGGAGGGGGCGGATTTTCAAAAATTTTAGAAAATTTTGTCGAACTTTTTTTAGGTAGACCAAAATGGTTTTATGAGACCACCTAATTCACTCTAAAGACCACATTTTGATCAAGGTTTCTGCGCTGCAGAATTATGAAAAAACAGGCCAAAAAAAGCGTTTTTAGATAATTTTTGGAAAGTTTCGATCTAAAAATCGCGTTTTTTGGCGCGCTCTCCCCCTCGAAGGTAGTATATATTGGCACCAAAGGCGCCTTTAGAAAGTTTTTAGGCTCCGTCACCAAAAATTGATATCCTAAGATAGTACCAAGGGAGGGCCCTTTGGGTCGGCGGCGGGTCAAACCCCAGCCCCCCACCCCCTAAAACCGACCGTGGCTATAAGTACAAAATTACAGTTTCTTTTATTTCGGTAACCAACTCAAAAGCACACTAAGCAAAACAAAAATAAAAAGAAAAGAAGCGATGACGTTTTTTGAATCATAATGGATTATAATCCAATATAATGGATTAAAATTCAATAAAAAAATTTGAGAAAAAAGTTTTCAAAAAATAATCGATTATAATCGATAATAAACGATTATAATGATTTTTAATGTTTCGAAAAAAGAAACAGTGTTTTTATTGTGCACCTATCCCTTAAATATATAGATAACAATTTCGTTTTGATCGTTTATTCGTAGATGTTTCACATTTTTGAATTAAATTTTCGAAAATCTTCTGACTTGAGCCAAATTAGAAAAGCTCAAATTATTTTTTTTAGTTGGTTTTGTTATTTTTCCGACTTTTGTAACGAAAGTAACGAAGTATTTGTGCTCGGGGTGGGTTTTTTTCTTCCGACAAATTTCGACTTTCTAACTAGCCATTTTTGACGGATTTTTTAAATATCATTCGAAAACTATTGTTGTCCCGAGCCTAAATTTGAAAAGATATTTCACCTGTGATCATTTGTTGTAAAGTTACGGGGGTTTAAAAATTGCCAATTAGGCCAATTTGGGGCAATTAACTTGCGATATTTTCGTGCTATTAACGCGTAAGCGGAGATTTAATCCGTCCTAGAAATAGTTCCAAATTGGTTCAAGGAAGCCTATTTTCCATAATTGAATTGTTACAAGGAGCGTAATATTTTCTTTTGCACTTTAAATGGCGTGTGGTGGGATGATTTTCATAAATTATAGAAATCTTTTTTTTTTCATTTTATTTTATTACATTCAATTTGTAAGTGATATTTATTTTATTAATGTTGCATAAATCCTAAAAGGCAGTCGGAATGTTCAGGGCTTCGTCGTGATACGAGCAGTCTTGTTCTCATTGGGCCGTGTCGTCTTAGACTGAGTTGTCTGTATTTGAAATTGACTGAATTGTGTGTGGCTGATTTGTCTCTGCGCCAATAAGACATACTTTTTTTCTGGAATTAAAATTAGTTGAATACTTCTCCAAAAATGAAACAAGGATTGAGTTTGTTGTTTAATAGAGCAATATCTGCTGTTTTTGGCTTTCATTAAAACACACCTCGCCTCAGATCAGATTAATCCTTCCGTTACTCAGTCACATAAAACCACGCCTGTATTTAATTTCACGCATTAGGGAATACAATGTGAAATTCAATTATGCTTTTTTAGTTCGAATAATTCAACCCTTATTACGGTTCGCTCTTGATTTCATAAACAAATTTGGGATTATTTTCATCCTTAAAAGTTTGATGGTGTCCCGGGTTGACCAAAATGTGCAACCATACGTCGCACCATGCATGGTTCCATGGAAGCCATGAAAAATTGCCGACGTATTTTTATGTTAAAATAACACATTTTCCATGCATGGCGCGACGTATGGTTGCACATTTTTTTTAAATCATGGGGACTTCAAATTAGACAATATTGATACTTTTACCAGAGCTGTTGATAATTTATATGTCACCATGGATGCTTGCAATGTATGGTTACTATGGTATCATGCATGGCGCGACGTATGGTTACTATGGTATCATGCATGGCGCGACGTATGATCAACAAAGAATCATATTTGGCGCAACATAGAAACTGAATAATCAAATAAATTCAATATTCTCTTGGACTTCCAAAAATGGCTCTGAACGACCTCAAAGACGTTGGTAGTAAAAATCAGAGCAAAAACTTGGTTCCCAAGCAAATCCGTTTTTAACATCAGTTTTTATCTTCGCTTGCACTGATTACGTTCGTATATACCAAATACGTGATGTTTGTTTCATTTTGATGAGCTCTTCTCTCAAACCTGAACTCAATAAATGTACCTTCTGCGGAGGTTTAATTTTTTTGCATACAATTAAGTGTGATAAGAACATACAATTAAGAAAATTTTAAGTAATAAACATTTAATGATTTCTTCATTTAAAAAATCATCTGAAGCCTACTGAAGGGTTGGGTTGTTTTATTATTCATAGAAAAGAAGAAAAAAATGTTAAGGAAGTGAAAGCAATAAATTTATAATTTACTATGGTTTTTAGAATTGAAGCCTGCATTTTGACGCATAATTTCAGCCAATAAAAAGAAGATGTTTCGCTAAAAGCTGAAATATCCCTTTATTATTGACCAAATCTCTGTGAAATCATTTCTCCCAACAATTACCGTACAATTGACTAACGTTTGAAAGTTAGATTCTTCCAATCTAAAAGAAGAAAATTATCATCCCTCGCAGTGTCCTTTGTTAGCCGAAAGTTCGACACTTTTTCATCACTTTCTTCATGGAAATTTTATATTCTTTGTCTTTTTTTTTATTCATATTGTATCTTACAAAAGCCTGAAATTTCATACTCAATTGTCTGAATAAAGAAATTTTATATTGTTGTCTCGATTAAGTTCCCATTATTATTATCTACCGAAACAATTTTTTGAGAACAAATTAAGCTTACGCCCTATCAAACTGTGCTTCATGCATTATTCAGACAATCCTTGTAAGTCATTCCATATTAAAAGCCACAGTCGCTCTGTTTTAATTCCTTTTCGGAGTATCTAATCCCATGTTTTTATACAGGAATTAAATTCAGCTGAGCAGCTGAAAATGTTCAATTCTTCCGATGTAATGACATCTTTGAGCCCACTGACTGACTCTGGCATTCCCGGTAGCTCCGAGGTCCTCAACGTCGGCAACTTCACTGAGGAAGCGGCTGGAGAGGAGGAGTACTCTCTAAATCAGAAAGTGCAGACTGTACTGGGAATGATAGGGGCTATTGGGAACTTCCTCCTAGTGCATTGCTTCTTCAGGAAAAAACCGAAACATCCCAGCGACTACTTCATCCTCGCGTTTTCTGTCAACGACTTGGGTAAGATCTTACTAATTTTTTATTGATTAAAAACAATGCGCTCTCTCTTTCTCTTTTTGCTAAATTGTGATCATGTATTTTTCAAGCATCTGTTATTAGACCCAACAAAAATTACAAAACATGAAAAAGGTTTTACTGGCAAATGTGCAGTGTTTCAATATGACAGTTGAAACTTCTACAAATTCTAAATTTTCAGGAAATACTAGTTACCGAATGCAAACGCGGTTTTCCATTTGTAAAATGTTTTAGTAGGATATTTAAGTGGGAGAGTAAAAAGTTAAATGGGATAAATTCTATGGCTTAAAGAAAATCTTTTCAAGCTTGCCAGAAAAATTAAGGTTTGATCGATCAAAAATGGTTGCTACAAAACCAAAGGGCAACCCTTTGAAAAAATCTGGCAATCAGAATTGAGGTGGAGCGCTTGATTTTTGTGAAGGTAAGGTAATACTGGTCACCCGGGTTGACCAAAAATGCTAGTCATACAATTTCCATATATGGAAAAATGCTAGTCATACACTTTTCATGCAATTCCATAAGTACAGAAAATTGCATGAAAGGTCTATGATTAGTATTTTTTCATATATGGAAATTGCATGACTAGCATTTTTCCATAAACCAAAAAATATTGATTTTTTACATTTTAATTTCTCAAAATTTTTTGGTTGTGTTCGTAACCGAACACAAATGACATACACCTTGGTTACTCAAAAGTAGTAACCAAAGGTTTGGCCGTCTCGCATTAAAATTGCATTGGAAACAGCCTGAAATGTTTTAATTCTGTCTCACACAAGAATTGTAACGAAAATAACGAACTTTTAAATTTTGGCAAAAATTTTCAAAGATGAATATTTTTAAAATTTGAATTTTTAAATTACCAGACATTGATCAAGACATACAAAAATATATCATACAAAAGAAAGAGAAATCTTAAGCGTTTTTGAAAAAAGTTATAAAGAGAAAAGGAAAAAAAGCCAATATTAGTATATCCAGGACTACGTTATACACACAAAAAATTAAATTTTGCATGCAATTTTTTTTTTCAAAAAATGTTTGTTTGAATACGAAAATCAATTTGCGGTTGAAAAAAAAACACAAAAAAATTTTTGGGGGCAATTTCAAAAATACTTCGAAAAATTTTTGTCGTCGCCATCAAAAAAAAAGCTAGTCATACAATTTCCATATATGGAAATTGTATGACTAGTGTTTTTTTTCAGAAAACAAAAATAAAAAAAGTCAAAGTTTTCAGTTTTGGCAGCCCAAACAACGCTTAAATGTTTTGCCAGCAGTTGAATCAATTGTTCAAAGCTTTTTTTCACAAATTTTTTTTTTTCGAAAATGCTAATCATACAATTTCCATATATGGAAATTGTATGATTAGCACTTTTTTCATACCATTTTTTTTTCCTTTTTTTTATAAAGAGATACCAATTTCGATACCAAAACAACTATAAAATACCTTTGAAATTCGATTGAATTCATTTTGCAAAAAAGTATGAAATTTGTATGACTAGCATTTTTCCATAGACTAAGTGTATGAAATTGTATGATTAGCATTTTTGGTCTATGGAGGTCAACCCGGGCAACTTAGAATAATTAGGCCGTGCGAAAGTTCCAACTTTATGCCAATGCGATGCGGCAGGGACGGCATATCAATACACGGCTATGAAATCACTCCAGCTTAAATTGAGACAAGACTGCTCGTATCAGGGCGAAGCCCTGAATGTTCCGACTGCCTTTTAAGGTTTTATAGAGCAGTAATAACATCAAAAAATTAAATGTAATAAAATTAAAACGAAATTCTTTTTTTCAAAAGTTTGAAACTTTTTATGAAAATCATCCCCCCACACGCAATATAAAGTACAAAAGGATAGATTTCGCTCCTTGTAACAAATCACTAATGGCAAATAAGCTTCTTTAAACCAATTTCAAACAATTTTAAGACGGATTAACTCTCCGCTTACGCGTTAATAGCGCGAAATATATCGCGAGTTAATTGTCCCAAATTGGCCAAAATGGCAATCTTTAAACCCCCATAACTTTACAAAAAATGATCACAGGTTCAAATTTGAGCTCAGGACAACAATAGCTTTTGAATGATATAAAAAAATTTCGTCAAAAATGGCTAGTTAAGAAGTCGAAATTTGTCTGAAGAAAAAAAAAACCCACCCCGAGCACAAATATTCCGTTACTTTCGTATCGAAAGTCGGAACAACAAGCTAATTGATGTAGGTTTTTAGTTAAAACACGCAAAACCTATCATGTTGTGTGTTGAGAAAGATTTGAAAAAAAATAACTTTTCTTCTGAAAAAGAATTATATTTTGACATTTAATTAAACATTTTGTAAGAAGATACAAAGTATTCAGGATTTGCGTTGATACGAGAAGTTTTGTTTGGATCTAAATAATAACAGCTAACAGTTAAGTATTTTCCTAATATACAGCGTTTAGGTACAATTTTATCCAACTTTTACTGCCGCAACCCAACATGCAGCGACACGGGCGAAAATTTCATCTTGACTTTTGTGGCAAGGGCTAATTTTGCACGAACGGCGCGAGTTTTGCGATCGTCAGCGCCATTTTTTCTCAGAAATTCTAATATTATTATTAAAAACTCATTTTTTTGCACGCTAAAATGCTTTTGGTTTCTCGCCAGCAGGGGCGGATTTGGGATTTTCTCGAGAGGTGGAGGCGGATTTTCAAAAAACTTTCGAGTATTTTGTCGACCTTTTTTTTGTACGTCGACCGAATTGATTTTCCGAGCTCTCCTAAAGCAGTAAAAACACTCTGTTTTGGTCAAATTTTTTGCGCCGTAGTCAAAATCTTTAAAAAAACAGGCCAAAAAGGCATTTTTAGGCACTTTTTGGAAAATTTTTCAAAAAAAAAATCACCAAAAAATTGCACTTTTTCAGCGCGCGCTCCCCACCCAAAAATAGTGTATGTTGGCGCCGAAGGCACCTTTAGAAAATTTTTAGGGTCCGTCACCAAATATGGATATCTCAAAATAGTACAAAGGGAAGACCGTTTGGGTCGTCGGGGGGTCAAATCCCTAAGGGGGGCCTCCGATCCCCCCTCCTAAATCACCCCCTTGCTCGCCAGGTATACTATTTATGTTTCAGTTGCAAAACATGCCGCCCAAATCACGAACAAAAAACTGGTCCGTTTGTGTTTTTTTTTCATGTGTCCGAAAAGCGGAGCATCCCTATTGTTGTTTTGATTACTTTAACTTAAAATTTTTCTCCGCTGCACTTTGCTTCTTGAATTTTTGTTTAAGCATAGCTTAGATCGTCGCGATTTTATGGCAAGATCTTCCGGACCAGCTTGGTTTTATAACCGGGCTCAATGGAGTTTTCAATGTCTGGACAAAGTTGCGGAACTCGACTTGGTTAATGAAGGGTTATTCAGCTCGTAATAACCGTGTATAAAAACTGTCTTCATAAGAATGATTGCAGTTCTCAAGGGGAAATCCTTCATGCCAAAAGGATCGAACGTGTAAGTTATATGCCAATTTTGAAAGAAAAATCAGTCAGTTTTGGACAGTTTAAAAGACATTGACTAGTTCATATTTTTTGCGCCTTCGGGAATTTTGAAATGAGACGAAAGTTTTTTTTATCTTTTATGTCATGCGTATGATTAAACGTTTATAAAGGTTCTTCAATGGCAAGAAATAGTTCTTCCTTTCAAAAAAGTGGTGGAATGCATATGATGGGGCTTGTTATGCAGACCAGCTTCCAGCTTCTGTTTTTCAATCAGGGGCGGATTTAGGGGAGGGGGCAGAGGGGGGGGGGGGGCGGACGCCCCCTCCTCAGAGATTCGACCCCCTGCCGACCCAAAGGGTCCCCCCTTTGATACTTTTTCAGAAATTCATTTTCGCCGACCGACCCTAAAATTTTTCTAAAGGCGCCTTTGGCGCCAATATATACTAACTTTGAGGGGGAGCGCGCGCCAAAAAAAAAGCATTTTTTTGTCAAAATTTTTCAATTTTTCAAAAAGTGCCCAAAAACGGCTTTTTTGACTGTTTTTTCAAAAATTTGCCGGAAATTTTGTTGAAAATCCGCCCCCCCCCCCCCTCGAGAAAATCCTAGATCCGCCCCTGTTTTCAACTAAAGTTTTTCTGGACAGTTTTTATGCGATCCAAAAAAAATCGATCCCTTGCCTTGAAAAATATATAATCGAATAAATTAATCCAGCCCAAAGTACAGTCAAAACATTTATAAAATCGCCCTGATACGAGCAGTTTTATACTCTCTTCATATGAAATACAAAATTTTTTATAGCCCATTTGAAATATTGAATCATCTCCCGGGGGTTACAAACAAAAATCACGGGCTATTAGGGCTATTGAAAAGCAATATCAAACAAATGAAAAGTTTGTTTGGTGGGCATCGCTGCATGCAAAAAGTTTTCGAAAAAAGGATTTACCGTTTTCATGTCTCAAGAATTACTCCAACTTTTTAGATTTATCAAAGACATGATTGGTCAAGTGGATCAAGAAGTCAATTCGAAGTGGCAATATTTAAATAAGGTTTTTGTTTTTTTTGTACTTGTTGGCTGCATCTTAATAAAAAACAAAAAAACCACGGTATAATTGGGAGGCAGAATGGTCTATGATGTGTGTTGCTTACTAACTTGAGCTCTTTGAGCTGAGTAAATTGAAAAGTTTTTTTCGACAAAGTTTTGAAAACCTTAGATTGTCTTTGATATCATTGCATTGAACTATTTTAAATTATCGTTGCATCTACGAAAAAAATCAGTTTTAAAATTTTTTTCATTCCCTAGGGACAAAAAACCTAGACATAATTTGAGAAAAAAACCCCTCAGCTCTGTATACTTTACAAAATAGTTTCAAGCTCAAAAGAACGTTTATGACTAAATGCTCCCTTTTCAAACCTAACGTCTATGACCGAAAATTTATTTCAATTTGCAAGAAGCTGAAAACGTAGCTAAAAACGTTGCATAATTGAAAAAAAAACAAGATATACTTTACGCCGCTGATAAACGGC